TTCTCCCCACTTGGAACTGAACCCAGATGGGCATTTCTTCCAGCACTATTAATTGGGCAAACGGGTGCAAATCTGTCCCCAACCCAGCCAGGAGTGGGATTTGGAGGTTCTCTGAACCAGCCGTAACGTTAGCTACATGTTCTCCTGAACCTGGGCGAACCTGTAGCATCCCACCCCTGGATATTTTCATTTACCTGCCTCCAACATTCTTTTGCCTGAATATAGACGGACATTTTTTCCTATACATCCATTCATATCAGGCATATTTGCAACTATGGATTTATGTTTCTACTAAAAGTACTTGGAGAGAAACACCCTACCAATGACTGACACTCTTAAGATATTTGCCCGTCAGTATATTTCCACAGGCCTCCTAATGCACAGGTAGAATCGGGGAGGGCTAACAGATACCCCTTTCACTTCAATTTGCCATGAATTCAATCTTGAGAATTGGAGTGACACAGGCTAACCCAGCATGCCTTGACTTAAATATTACAAATTCTTATTTTTACCAGCAAGACAAGCAGAATGGCAACCTTATCTATTGTATCACAGGAACAGAAGCACTACAAATGACTTGAAATACCTTGAGTATTGCCTAGATGGCAAGTGATGTATTTATTGTTGCTGGAAGTTAATGCTGGTATTGAAAAAATGTGACATAATGCTTAATTGATTTTTTTTCGGCGTAAATTCTGTATTTCTCAGAACAGCGATGGATTCTTGCACACCACCCTCTATTGACTAAGAACATTCACAATCCATAATGACAAGAGAAAATGCTTTTCCTTTTCTCTTATATTATTATTGGATTGGACCCAGATCCAGTTATATTTGCATAGATCCCCTAGAAAATCAAAGAGGAGTGCTGGCACTATAATGAACATGCTTGGAAATGGCCATCAGTAAGAACAAATATTTATTAGCTTTATAGCACCTGAAGTTCACTTTTAAAATCCAATAGACTTTAGCATGGGAGAACATTAAGTGGTTGAGGCTGCAAGATGTGCAAGAATGAAAACCTTGCATGTCCTCAGCATCCGAAGTGGTAAAAGAAAAAAGGAAGAAGAGCAAGAGGGAGGAGGAGGAGNTTTGAAACCCACCACTGCTACCGCCCCTGTCCTACTGTCTCCATTTATTTGTACCCATTTACTGTATTCATACTTACGTTTATACTTATACCTGTTAACTTTGACATGTTTGACAAACTAACTAAATAAAAATAAATAAGACAGCCATATACGAGGTAGATCATGGAAAGGGAAGGAACATAAAACATGAACCAATCTAGAGAACGAATCTTTCACGGCATGAGCAGTAGAAGATCATGTGACACGTTCTGCACCTGAAGACTGATTCATACATGCAGGATACCTGCTCTCAGATAATGCCAGCATTATTTTATAACTCACAAACTAATTGTGTGATTGCATGTCATTAAACAAAGTGCCTTTGGAGCAGGCTTGGTTCTCGGGGTGACGTGACTTCTGGAGTTACTGGACACCACAATCATCCAGTGGAAAACAGGCACATGTGAATAATTCCTAGGTTATTAAAGCAAATCCCTGTGTACTGCATTATGCATCAGCTGCTTCTCAAGCATTCCACCTACCTAAATAGTGCTATAATTGGAGGGAGAATATATTTGCAGTTCGATCAGGGGATTTATGTAGGTGAAAATGAGATATGGAGATGAGATAGCTTTATTTATCTGGAAACTTGGCTTTTAGAGGCTTCATTCAAACCCAAAGGTTAAGGATGGGGTAGATGGGTTTAACTTGTTATAGATTGTGCATTCACCACTTACAATGGCATGTGGAAGAAGGACAATCTTGAACAAGAACTTAGCAGCTCACCAATTGTGATATATCAGGTTTGATCAGTGGTGGGTTTCAAAAAATTTTAGAACCTCTTCTGTAGGTGTGGCCTGCTTTGTGGGAGTGGCTTGCTGGCCATGTGATTGGGTGGGCTTGCCAGCCATGTGACCAAGTGGAAGTGGCTTGGCAGTCGGGTAACTGGGTGGGCGTGGCCAACTTGTAAAATGTGGTGAAACTCACTTAACAACGCTCTTGCTTAGCAACCAAAATGTTGGCTCGCAAGTCTTAAAGCTGTCAAGTTACAAGACTCTTGCACCCCTATCCCTTTAGAAAAAAAAACCCAGGGGTGTTCAAACTGGACAGCTTTAAGACTTGTGGACTTCAACTCCCAGAATTCCTCCTCCAGTCATGTTGGCTCAGGAACTCTGNGGGTAGTCGCCAGTCAACACTGGCCGGCTGATGGAATTCGGAGGAGGCCTAGTCTGTGGGATCTTATTGGTCTAGTGGAGGTAATTGGCAGTAGGATCTAAAGTTCCCAGGGCAATTCGATTAGGATAAAGCAGTTAGAAACCCCTCCCCTCAGTCCAGTGTTGATTGAGCCAATCCACAGGTGTGATGTTGTTTTGAGAATTTTTGTACCCTATCCACTCTGAACCCTGACTGAAACAGATCCAGATAATACGCTTTATGTAAAGCTGTTGTACAACCACCTTTTCAATCGTCTTTCCCCGAAAGGGGAGATTGGATATTGGAGAAAAATTATGCGGTATTATGGGGTCCAACAATGGTTTCTTGAGGAGGTGGTGCTTTCACAAGCCAGGATGGGTTTGGATCTAGGAAGCAGGTGGCCAAACTCCTAGTCTAAGGACCTTGTCCACTTCCTCAGCTACAACCTTTTCAAATGGTCAAATTCAAGACCTTCTTATCCATTCTCATCTAGCATGAAGGAATCCACATACCAGTGTCTTGTATGCAGGTACATATAAAATAGGTCTTCATCAGCTAATACTCGGAATCAAAAGAAAAGATTAAATGTCATGCATTCCAGGTATTTCTCTCAATCCTTTAGTCCCACCTCTTCATCAGTACTGGATGGAGTGTTTTACCTTCTGATTGGCCCGGCAAGGCGGCACTCCTCTGCAGAGTTTCTCAGAAGGAAATCCCGTGGAGTGAACAAGCTACTGAGTTGAATCCAGTTTTGGATGCAACTTATTTTCCAAAGCACCTGAAGACCAGACAAGGAATAATGGATGGAACCTGATCAAGGAGAGATTCGATCTAGAAATAAGGAGAAATTTAGAACCATTAATCAGACTTGCCTTCAGAGGTTGTGGGTACTTCATCACTGGAAGCTTTCAGGAAGAGACTGAACTGTCAGAAATGGTATAAGGCCATGATGGTGATCCTGTGGTCACGGAGCCATATCAGTGGGCACGTAAGCTCAGCTCCGGAACACATGCGCGTGCCGGCCAGCTGATTTTCAGGCCTTCTGGGCCCACCAGAAATCGAGAAACAGTCTATTTTCAGCCTCTGGTAGGCCTCTGTGGGGGTAAGGCGTTTTTCACCCTCCACAGGCTCCTAGAAAGGCTCTGGAGCCTGGGGAGCATGAAAAATGGACCTTCTGGTCCAACCAGAAGTTGGAAAATGGGCCGTTTCCAGCCTTTGGTGGCCTCCATGTGGGTGGGAAAGGCCGTTTTGCCCTTACCAGGCTCCTAGGAAGGATCTGGAGCCTGGGGAGGGGAAAAAATGAGTTCATCATGCCATTGTGTGTGAAAAGCAGGGGGAGTGTGCCTATGCATGGGCAGAGGGCACATAGAATTATGGGTGTGGGCATGACCCTCCGCGCTCCCCCTGCTTTTCNAAGAGAGTAAACTTTTTTTTCTATAGTAGAGAGATTGCAGCGGAAGGGATGACAAGAGAGTAAACTTTTTTTTCTATAACAGAGAGATTGCAGCGGAAGGGATGACAAGAGAGTAAACTTTTTTTTCTATAGTAGAGAGATTGCAGCGGAAGGGATGACACGAGAGTAAGATTTTTTTTTCTATAACAGAGAGATTGCAGCGGAAGGGATGACAAGAGAGTAAACTTTTTTTTCTATAGTAGAGAGATTGCAGCGGAAGGGATGACAAGAGAGTAAGATTTTTTTCTATAACAGAGAGATTGCAGCGGAAGGGATGACAAGAGAGTAAACTTTTTTTTCTATAGTAGAGATTGCAGCGGAAGGGATGACAAGAGAGTAAGATTTTTTTTTCTATAGCAGAGAGATTGCAGCGGAAGGGATGACAAGAGAGTAAGATATTTTTTTCTATAACAGAGAGATTGCAGCGGAAGGGATGACAAGAGAGTAAGATTTTTTTCTATAACAGAGAGATTGCAGCGGAAGGGATGACAAGAGAGTAAGCATTTTTTTTTCTATAGCAAAGGTGGCTCCTATTTTTCTACTTGCATTTTTTAACCTGCTTCCGAACTGCTCGGTTGGCAGAAGCTGGGACGAGTCACGGGAGCTCACTCCGTTACACTCGGGATTCGAACCTCAAACTCCCAACCTTTCTGATCGACAAGCTCAGGGTCTTTAGCCCCTGAGCCACCGCGTCCCTTGCTTCTATTAGACCCAAAATGTTTGTGCCGGTGCCAGAACGTCTTCCCACTAAGGTCAGAGGAAGCACCGTGGACCCCACAGAGCTGAATTTTGCTCCACATCCAAGGCCAGTGAGGGCGAACCTTTTCGGCACCAAGTGCGCTCGTGGGAGTGGGATGCGGCCCTGTTTGTGCCAGAAACCGAAGAGCAGTCTCCCAGTGCGCATGTGCATTCCAGGAAGATGGTTTTCCGGGTTCTGGTGCGCCAGCTGGTCTTTGTGCATGCGTGCGCCCCAGAAGACCAGGTGACTGGTGCTCATGTGCGTGCCAGAAACCGGAAGAGCATCTGGCTTCCAGCCCTCCCGCATACAGGAGCACCAGCTGGCCAGCACTGCAGGACGCGGAGGAGCGACGTGCCACGGCTCTGCGTGCCACCTCTGCCCCCCCCTCCGTGCCTTCGGTCCGCCCTCACTGCGCTGGGCCACGGAGGGACATACCAGCGCCCCTAACAGGTTGTGTGAAGGTGGGCTGGGGAAAAGGACGTCGTGGAAGGCTGGGCCAGAGGGGTTCCAGGTGGACTTCAGCCCGTCTCTTTGTCCCTCGCAGGTCGTTGTGCCCGCTGTGGGGAGAACGTGGTGGGGGAAGGAAGCGGCTGCACAGCCATGGACCAGGTCTTCCACGTCAGCTGCTTCACCTGCATGATTTGCCACCAGAAGCTCCGGGGACATCCTTTCTACGCCGTGGAGAAGAAGGCCTACTGCGAGCCTTGCTACATCGTGAGTAGCCCTTCCTCTGCCTCCCCCTCCCCAGCGTGGGGAAGGGTCTCGGCTGAGCTCCGGGGGGACTCTCGGGCTTCAGCTCATCCTTCCAAAGCTCCGCCGGGGAACTGGGTTGGGTGGGAAAGGCCCAAGGCCACCTTGAAAAGGTCCACTTAAATTAATTGACGGCTCCTCGTGGCCGGCCACAGGATGACCAGGACACAGGGGACCTTCTGGCCAAAGGGAGCTGGACTTTCTTGTTTTTTTCTTTGAAGAACTTTCGCTTCTCCTCCAAGAAGCTTCTTCCGTTCCGACTGGAGGGTGGGGAANCTGTGGGGGCGATATGCTGACTCTGTAAACCGCTTAGAGAGGGCTGAAAGCCCTATGAAGCGGTATATAAGTCTAACTGCTATTGCTATTGCTGGCCCTCAGTCGTGACCTTCTCAGCTGGCTTCCGACAGGCAAAGTCAGTGGGGGAAAGCCGGATTCGCTTAGCGACCACATGACTCATTAACAACTCCAACCATTCATTTTAACAACCGAGGAGTTCCCTTACCAACTGACGTGATTCGCTTGGCAACCAAGGAGTCGCTTAACGGCTGCGGTGATTCAAATTAGCAACCAAGGGGGGAAAAAAATCATAAAATTGGGATCGGCTCCCCTAACAAGCCGCTTTGCTGAGCCACAGAAATTCTGGTGTCAGTTGTGGTCGTAACTCGAGGACTAGCTGTATCAAAGAACTGGGCGATCTGTTGTTCAAAGGGGGGGTGGGGGAGGATTTGAAGAAATCTGTATGTTTCCTTGTTCTCTGATCCTTGTCTTTAGAAATCTGAGACAATTATGGAATCCTGGTGGCAGGGAGTTTTCCAGGCATTTTGTTTAACACTGGGGGAAAAAAGTTAATTTTCAAAGCCAAAGAGTTTGGCTGCAGCCTTTACTGTAGGGTCTCCAACTTTTAAGACTTCAACTCCCAGAATTCCTCAGCCAGCCACGCCTGTTTCCCCCCCCCCTCTTTGACCCCTAAAGCGGAGAGATTGCAGAGGAAGCTATGCTGGCTGGGGGATTCTGGGAGTTGCAGTCCACAGGTCTTAAAAGTAGCCGAGTTTGGACATCTCTGCCCACCCCCCCATGCCAGAAAATGAAAACCAAGAGCCCAACAAGCGACCTTGACCCCAACTGAGGTTGGACAATTTCTGCAGAGGAATTCAATGTCATGGAAACTTCTCCTCCGCCCAGGTTTGGGCATCCGAGCATGAGGTCAACGGCAACTGGGATGCATTAAAAAAGAAAATCTGTTGAGAGCTGCGATTTTTTGAATGGAAGGAGCTAATTAACTGAGCTGGGAAGCTTCAGGCCATTATCATAATTCATGAGTATAACGTGGTCCAAATTATTATATCTGAAAAGGCAAAGAGGATTAGGAAAGGTCATTGGCTGGTTCTTTTCTGCCTTTCTTCCTTTCTATTTCCAGCTCCCTCACCTGCCTCTTTTTCAGAAAGTCCTTGACTTATGAGGAGGGTTCTGACCAGGAAAGAGAGAGAGAGAGGGAGGGAGAGAGGGAGGGAGATGAAAGATAGACAGACAGACATGGATGGATGAATGGATAGGTAGGTAGGTAGGTAGGTAGATAGATATGGATGGATGGATGGATGGATGGATGGATAGATAGATAGATAGATAGATAGATAGATAGATAGATAGATAGATAGATAGATAGATAGATAGATAGATGAAA